CTGTCTTCTTGTAGATTGAAATGGCTTCTATGGATGATAAAGTTAAATTGGTCCAACACACCCCTCGAAGAACCACTGCTTTCGACAACACAAACGAGAAGCCGAAATCAATTTCAAATGCGCAAAATGCAAGAAACGATCAGTATAGCACGATAGCTCGAATCAAAAATTATGCGTTTCGACAGAATATGTATAACTTTTTCTTTTGATTTAAAATATTATCGTTGTTGCTCTTTTCTAGGAAGCATTTTTACTGGTCGATGTTGGATTTCATACCCAAACCTATCTTTGTGTTGCCTATGATTACAAGTATCCTTACGATTATAGGTATACTGGTTATTTGTTTTACCGCACAAAAATCACCAGGTACGTACTTGTTAGCTTGCATTCTTCGTATTCAATGAGATAATAATCTCCAGTTAATCCGGTTCTGTCTCGAAGCAAATTATTAAGCAGGGACAAAATAAGAAGCATTACAACTACTTCACTTTTCCATTGCAAATTAGCACTGACGAATACAAACTAATCAAGGTGATCATCATCAGTAAATCGGATACTTTTTCCCTAAGGTAGATCCATCCATTTTACTTATTAGTAGAGTTTATAGATTAGAAAAAAATTCCAAAAATAACTATTTCATTGCACTTTACTCTAGAGAAGGAAGGAAGTATAGCAAGTAACGTGCGTCTGTATGACTTGCTTGACTCTCAACTGAATATGCGACTCTTTTGGTATTACATGCCACTTTACAGTCTTCAACAAAGCTAGTATCCAACATCTCAAAAGGGTTGATAGATATGTAGACGTTGAGACTAGCATCATTCTCCTCGCGCACAATAGTATGCGGACCTGTATGATGGTTTTTGTCATAAATTCATCTAATTAAACTAATACCTGCACATTGATACTCAACAGAAATCTAAATGAATGACGCTAGGGCAGCAGTATCTACACACATCCGAAAAAAAGAGATTATTTTCAATTATCTGAGAGGTCACGAAGAAAAACTCATTTACTACAGTATTGTGAAAAAGCGCCAAACTCTTTGAAAATTCTACTAAAAGTTCGTATGTCTACTAGAATATCAGCCGATAATGTTCTTTAATCGAGCGTCCACATGAAAAATACGAGTTTAGCTGAACTTCTAGCATAGAATAAATTATATTAAATCTGATCTGTAGTCGAGATACCATACTGGAAAGAAGCTCCTACTCAAAATAGCCATCAGACTGGACAGATAATTTGAATATACACGAATACATTCCGATACGTGAATGAATACAGACAAGAACACATATCAGCATAAAAACTCTCTTTTATTTCATTAATATCTACTGCTGATAAAGCAAATATAAGTTCTTTGGGCGATGTTTTCCGTCAAATATACTATTCAAATATTGTGCATGTGCAGAAAATCCATTCTCATACTTTATTTGCAAATATTTCTCAGTTCTTTACCACTACTGGTTCCTAGTCAAACCAATTAGATCTTGTTCGTTGACATTTATCCGATGAATCTCAACAGCATGATATGATCCTTCAGGGGAATTTTCAACACAGCGTTTAGTTGCTCGTCAGTGCCCCTTTGGGGCGCCACTCACGGCTACTTACTGCCATGTTTAAGTCTATTTGTCCATAAAACCATTCTTTTTATTTACATTCAACCTATTTCAAACTCGACTTGCTTCAAAAAGTCGTTATATCTCTAGCACAAGAATTCTCGATAGAAATTTCTAAACCGAAGCTTTCTTGTGAACTATTTCCGACTTCTTCAACTTCATCGTCTAGCTGGAAACTCCGTTTTATTGAAATTCCTCATTAAGGAAATATTAGTGCAATATTCTCAAAAGAAATCTAGCTTTTACATAGATCTTTTGTGAGATGAATCTGCACTATGCTTGTAATATGAGCGACTAGTTCTGAGGCGCGCCGACGAACAAGCAGTCGCTCTTTTACATCAGTAAACTTTGGCAATAGTTGCTTATTGTCCATTTAACATAAAAGATATGACTTCCTTTACATGTATATTTTCGCATCCAATCTCGGATCTTCATATTGAACTAGATTAATGTAGAACCGAGAAGAAAATTTTCACTAGAACTCCAATTAGTCCTTTGACAGATGTTGGATTCGAAATGTATTTGGCGGAATTACATTGGAACAATGGTATTTGAGATGTTGCAATCGTTAATAGAGAAATTAAAGTAGAATTTGTAAATCTATGCATAAGTTTCTATATAAGAACAGCTTCCATGAAAAATCATCTATAAGTATTTATATCCTAAATTAATTTGTTCATTGATTATTCTAATATCTGAGATGGAATTATTCCAAGATACCTCCATAAAAAGAATTCGAATCCAACACCTATCAACAGACTAGTTGATGTTCTAATGAAAATTTTTTTCTCGATCCGATATAGCTGCTAGAAATTCCGCGAGTCAGAAGTCCTGAAAACATATATTATATATATATAAGTTCGGGCAAGACAGAACATTCTAGAAGAAACATGAGTCATACAAAGAGAAACAATGTTTCATCAGTAAAATCAGGAGAGAGAGAGAGAAAGTTGAATAGAACAGAAAAAGAATATGTACTCGAATAATCTGCACAGGAAGAAAAGAGAAGGAAATAACATACTTTTTCCATATATGATAAGAGAACAGAAGAAGGTGAGAGTGAAAGAAAACACACACACACAACACACTGACGCAACACCATACACATCCTCTTTTATGACACGTGTTCTAGAACGTGCTATAACAACTTCAAATGCAATCTTGGATTTCACACTGTCCAATAATAGTATCTTAAGATAGATTACCTAGCACGCACAATGAATGATGAAGGAATATACAGAGCTACATATACATATATATATATATACTTAAAATATACCATAACGTCTATTTATATAGCACGTTCATTGTCAACAAAAAACCGTACGGAAAAACTCAGTTTTAGTGCATCTAAGAACTTTTTCCTTGATAAAATTTCAATCCCGTATATATTCGGGCACGGTCCGTCAAGAGTTATTCGTCTCAACAGAGAAAATGTTTTTTTTTTAGACATGACTTTGAAACAGCTAAACTTTGTCCATCGTATATCTAATACAAAAAAATGTGTTTTTTTGCAACGTCCAATGAGAGATAATTATCCTATATATTTCGTTCTTGGTTCACAGAAAAGGATTTTTTTTGTTTGTTTAGTTTATATATAGAAGTGACTTTATTTCAGCTACCACATTCAACTATTCCTTTTGTAGATATGAATGTGCTAATAGTAGAGATCGTGTCTTTCGATTCGTTCTGATCAATTAAGCCTTTTTTTTTCAAAGAAAAGTTAGATATCACATTTTGCATATCGTTAGAGTAGATGTTAACTATAGTCTTTATACATGTTCGTGGCTAAAATAGTATGTCGTAGATACACGAATAAATACAGTATTTATACATCGCTTAACTTTTCCAGAAGACAAAACCGTTAATTTCCATATAACTGAGTTATAAGTAGTGAAATTTTCTTTTAGATCCAAGGAATTTGAATCGTTTTATATCTCAGTTGAGTTGAAGTGAGAGTGCTCTCATCACGATAACGTACGAATTAGAGATATTGTTTTATAAAACATTTTGTGATTCTTTTCGTACATCTAAAGTAGGTATATTCAAGAGTTTATAAGAACTTCATATATTCGAAAAGCCTTGTTGAGTATGTAAATATCTGTTAAACCCTTTGATCAATTCTTTAAGAGTTTATTATTTTTCAATTTTTATGGTACAAGCGGGATAGATGCATTGAGCAATCAATCAGTCTTCACATTGTTCTTCACGTGTCTTTTAGTTCGAAAGTGTGAGTTAAACTTTAAAAAGACGGAAAAAAATCCGGTTGATTACAGTCAAGATCGCCTACAATCTGTTGCTGGTGGGGATTTCAATAGCGATACATGGCTGGATATTGTCGTCGCAAATTCTAAGGCTAACAACATAAAAGTATATTTTGGATATGGTAATGGGTCTTTTGAACATAACACGACATATTCAACTGGTACTGATTCACAGCCATATTCGGTCGCAGTTGCTGATATCAACAACGATCATCGACTAGATATCGCCGTGGCAAATTTCGGTATCAATCAAATCACAATATTTTTCGGTCTAGGAAATGGATCTTTCACCATACAAACATTGATTTCTACTGACTTATCTCGTCCACTTTGGATTCACTTAGCTGATTTCAACAATGACAGCATATTTGATATTGTCACTGTCAACTATGGAACCCAGAGTATTGGGATATTATATGGATTTGGAAATGGAAGCTTCTTAAGACCAATCACGTATTCGACAGGCTATGATTCTCTACCGTCTGCAGTCGTCAGCGGAGATTTCAACAATGACAATCAATTGGATCTCGCCGTTGCCAATAGTGGGACAAACACTATAGGAGTATTTCTTCGCAACAGCGAGGGCACTTTTAGTAAGCAGACCGTATATCCAACTGGTTATGGATCTCATCCTCGTTCAATCGCTGTTGGTGATTTCAACAATGATATTCTTCTAGACATTGCTGTCGCTAATTATGGTACTAACAACATAGGTATACTCTTCGGCCACGGTAACGGAACGTTCACAAAACAAACGACGTATTCGATAAGTCCTGCCTTTCCATACACCATCAGTGTTGCTGACTTCAACAACGACAATCGACTCGACATAGTTGTCAGTAATAATGGCATTAATAATACAGGTGTACTTCTTGGATATGGCAACGGGACATTTGAAAATCCAACAATGTATTCAAGCGGATCTTTGTCTTCCATTTCATTTGCTATAGGTGATTGCAACAACGACAACCTACTCGACATTATCGTTTTGAACAGTGATACACAGAGTATAGAAGTACGTCTTGGTTATCAAAAGCTGTTTCAAAACCAAGTGACCTATCCCACTGATAGCAGCCCGCGCTCTTTAGTTGTTGATGACTTCAACAATGACACTCAAATGGATATCGTTGTTGCTAATCGTGATAGTAACAATATAGGTGTACTCATCGGATATGGGAATAGCAGTTTTGCAAATCAAACAACTTATGCTACTGGCTCTGAACCACGATCTGTAGTTGTTAGTGACTTCAACAACGACACTCGACTAGATATCGTCACTGCTAATTCGGGAAGCGACAATATAAGTGTTTTACTTGGATACAGCAACGGTAGTTTTGCAGACCACATAACTTATTCTACTGGTTCTTACCCACGATCTGTTGCTGTAGGTGATTTCAACAACGACAATCAAATGGATGTGGTCGTTGCTAATGAAAAGAGTAACAATATAAGTGTACTCATCGGACATGGTAATGGTACTTTTGCAGATCAAACAACTTATTCTACTGGCTTTGGTCCAGGATCTGTAGCTATTGGTGATTTCAACAATGACATTCTACTGGATATCGTCACTGCTAATTCAGGAAGCAACGATGTAAGCGTACTTCTGGGATATGGCAATGGTACGTTTGCAAATCAGATGACCTATTCCACTGGCTCTGAGCCACGCTCTGTAGCTGTTGCTGACTTCAACAACGATAGTCGGCTGGATATCGTCATCGCTAATTATAAGAGCAACGATATAAGTGTACTTCTAGGATATGGCAATAGTAGTTTTGCAGGTCAGATAACCTATTCTACTGGCTCTGAACCACGATTTGTAGCTGTTGCTGACTTGAACAATGATACTCAAATGGATATCATTGTAGTTAACTCGGGTAGCAATAATGTAGGTGTACTACTCGGGTACGGCAATGGTAGCTTTGCAGATCTAACGACCTATTCTACTGACTCTGGGCCACTGTCTGTAGCTGTTGGTGATTTCAACAACGACAATCGAATGGATATCGTCGTGGCTAATCTCGGAAGCTCCAATGTTGGTATCATGCTTCAAGAGAATATCGTAGTTCTCGGAAACGCAATGGGGTTTACATTTGATAGTGGTTCTGACTTGCGAGATCTTGCTGTTCATGACGTAAATAACGATAATCGGTTGGATATTGTAATTGCTAATTACGGCAGTAAAACAATTAGTGTTCTTTTTGGTAACGGGAACAGTACGTTTGCAAATCAAGTGACCTATTCAACTGGTTCTCGTCCGAACTCTGTAGCTGTAGATGATTTCAACAATGACACTTATGTTGATATTGCCGTAGCGAATTATGATAGTAAAAATGTAGGTATACTTCTTGGAAATGGTAATGGAAAATTTACGTTACAAACCAGTGTCGGAACTCGTTTTCCTTTCGCTCCCTTTCTTCTCGCAGTTGGTGATTTGAACAATGATGGACGACCAGAAATTTTGGTTGGCCAGAATGGCAGTAACGTAGCTCATATACTTGTTGCATATGACATTGGATCGTTAACAGATCAAATAACCTATTCTACCGGCTCTTACCCAATCTCTATTGCTGTGGGTGATTTCAACAACGACACTCAAATGGACATGATCATTGCTAATTATCGGAGTAACACTGTAAGTGTACTTCGTGGATATGGCAATGGCAGCTTTGCAGATCAAGCAACTTATTCTACTGGCTCTTACCCAGTGTCTGTAGCTGTGGGTGATTTCAACAACGACAATCAAATGGATGTGGTCGTTGCTAATGAAAAGAGTAACAATATAAGTGTACTCATCGGACATGGCAATGGTACTTTTGCAGATCAAACAACTTATTCTACTGGCTTTGACCCAGGATCTGTAGCTATTGGTGATTTCAACAATGACACTCGACTGGATATCGTCACTGCTAATTCAGGGAGCAACGATGTAAGTGTACTTCTGGGATATGGCAATGGTACGTTTGCTAATCAAACAACTTATTCCACTGGCTCTGGCCCAGGATCTGTAGCTGTTGGTGACTTCAACAACGATGGTCGGCTGGATATCGTCACCGCTAATTCTAAGAGCAACGATGTGAGTATATTACTTGGATATGCCGATGGTACTTTCGCTAATCAGACTACTTATTCTACCGACTCCTACCCAATCTCTGTAGCTGTTGGTGACTTCAACAATGACAGTCAAATCGATATTGTCGTTGTTAATTATCTGAAGAACACTGCAGGTGTACTTCTTGGATATGGGAATGGCAGTTTCTCAGATCAAACTGCCTATTCTACTGAGTCTTATCCAATGAGTGTAGCAGTTGATGATTTCAACAACGATACTCGACTGGATATTGTTGTTGTTAATCAGGGGAGCAACAAAATAAGTGTACTTCTCGGATATGGAAACGGCAGTTTCGCAGATCAAATGACTTTTTCCACCGGCTCCCGCCCAATCTTTGTAGTTATTAATGACATCAACAACGACAATCGACTGGATATTGTCGTCGCTAATTTCTGGAGCGACAATGTAGGTGTTCTTCTTGGATACGCTGATCATGCTTTTCTTGAACAAATGACACTGGATAGTGGCGATGGTTCTCTTCCACAGTCATGTATCATTGCCGATTTCAACAATGATAATCAGAAAGACATTGCCATTGCTTATTCAGGAAGTGACATGATCAGTATTTTCCTTGGATATAGCAATGCCACTTTTGCAGATCAAAGAGAATATTCAACTGGTTTTTCGTCATCTCCGTACTCTATAGCTGTCGGAGACTTAAACAACGACAATGTAGTGGACATTATCGTCGCTAATTACGGTACTGATAATGTGGGCGTTTTTCTTGGATATGGAAATGGGTCTTTTATGAATCAATCAACTCTTTCAACTGGGTTTGGTTCTCGTCCATACTCTGTCACTGTTAATGATTTCAACAACGATACCCTACTAGACATTATAGTCGCTAATCATGATACCAATAATATAGGCCTATTTCTTGGATACGGTAACGGTAGCTTTGCTCATCAAATGACGATTGCGATAGACGCTGAATCTTTCCCATTCTCTGTTATCGATGGTGACTTCAACAATGACAGAAAGCTAGATTTAGTCGTCGGAAACAGTGGAACTAAGAGTGTCAATATTTTAATACAGACTTGTTGAATTTCGACTTTTACAATTTACTTTTGTATCGTCCTGCTTAAACAGAAGACTCAACACTTCGTACTGTTCGATGCAGGTTTTATACAAAAAATGTTTCGTTACGATAGTTCGTGTCATTGCTAAAAGATTACTCAAATGAGATAGAGCTGTCATATTGTTGATTGATTCAGAGAACAGTTTTTGTTTCTAATTCGATAGAGGTGCATGCAAAGGGTTATATCATGAGAAAAGCAATGCATAAAGCGGGGCGCAGGAAGGGTGTGGGTGTGGGTGTCGGTATGAGTGTGTGAGTGGGTGTGAGTGTATGGGCGTGGATGTCTGTACAGCCGTTCTTTAAACCCACACTCTTAATTAATTAAACAAAATTAGCATCAGATTCATGTTCTTCGTTCTGATTTGAGTTAATTCAATTTTTTGAGAAAATACGTTAATTAACCGTAATCAGTTAATTAATTCATTCTGACATCAGATTCGGATTCTCCACACCCGAATACCCCTTTTGCAATCTTATAAAAAACTGGGTCCACTAATTAAAGGCTAATTAGTATTGAGTTAATTAATTAACTAATTAATTAATTAAAACCGACCTCGGATTCGGATTCCCCATGCGAAAATACCCTTTGTACCATAAAATTAGCAAAAATACTCACGTAGCAACGGAACAAGAAAATTTTTCTACAAGTTTTTTTTATTTTGCATTTTTCTCGAAACTAGTTTTTTGGGTATCAAAAACCAGTTTTCCCCCTTTTTCTCCGCCATTTCAAGTCCGATCGGGTTGAAAATATTTTTTATGAGACTTCAAGTGATTTGGGTTGGCCGTTTTTTTTTGGATACCTTCTACTAATCAAGTTTGGCAGGCTTTGCAAAATTTTTAGGATCCAAAAAACCTAGGAATTTTGCGAAGTCCTCAGTATTTTGGTTCTCCAGCCTGAAGTATTTGGAATTTTTGCGAAAAAAAGCCCACTCCGATTGGGTCCATCTACCCACAGTAAAAATTTCAGCTCAAACGGATGAAATCTGTGGATTTGAGGGGGGGAAACCTTTTGCAAGTTTTTGACCTTGGAGGTCTCTGGAAGTCCATGAAGATGAGGTCTGGTAAATTTGTGCCCATGACAACTTTTGCTCTACTACTCGAGACCTATCTACCCTGAAAGTTTCAAGAATCTTCGATCGGCCGTTTCTTAGAAACGCTGGAAAGGGGGGTCCCCTTAACACAAGTAGTAGAACGAATCCGGACAGCGATTTCACCTATCATGGAATGCTGCCCACAGTATTTGGGACATAAACCCTCATTTCTGCCCAATAACAGCACTTGGAAATAGTACCATCGGATGGAGAATTTAATTCTGCATCTAACACACTCAACTAGAAAGTTAACACAAGTCGTAGAGCGAATCCGGACATTAAATATATAATATTTGTTATTGTTAAACAGGGAATAAACTAGTATTTCGAGGAAAGTTGTGGTTTTTTTGCCCGATGACCCAGGTTGAAGCTAGTACCGTTGGATAGAGGATAAAATTTCGCACCTAACACAAGTGCGTAGAGGTAACACAGGTAAGAAAGCGAATCAGGACAAGAAATCCTCAAATTTGGTGCTAACTTTACTTACGTATTATTTCTCAGTCATTTCGAAAGTTTGTCAATGATACATTCTCATGTTTTTAGAAAAACTAATGGCATAGACTTTACCATCAACTGTCGTTAAACTCGATTCGTAAATTCTTATTTCAGCATTATAGATAACATAAATTTGCCTAAGATCATTATATAAATCATTTGAACTGTTTGAAAGTTCTTCATGATTTCTTCTTCAGTAGAAAGCCTACGACCAAGATGTTTTACTCAGAGATCTTTTCTTCTCAGCCATATTTGTCTGTACAACATCCTAGGAATGATACAAAGAAAGTTTCTATATTGCTAATACAATCTTTACCATCAAAATATGGATTTTCATGTACAAAGTCGAGATCATTGATTAGTGCTGAATGTTCTTTTGGTGTTAGTATTCGATGTGAGTAGTTTTTGACTGGGTCTATATATGATAAATGTGCATTATGTTGTCCAGAATAGTATTCTTGTCTGAGGGATTCTAGTTTTCCGTTATGTGTGGCGATCCATTCCCTAGACTTTTGACTAACAAGTATTTCAAAAATATTTTGTAATTGAATATAATGTTCATTGTTACTGTCATTTTGGATAGCATTTTTTAAGTTCGTTGAAAGTCGATATAATTTTGTCAGTTGTCGCTTCTTCCATTTGATATCGTCGCGTAGTATTTGTTGATAGCATTGATGTATTGCATTTCTATAGACACTATGCGTAAGAGAGACATGAAAACGAACAAAAATAGGAATTAGGTTTTCTTCTTTACAAGTTTCTAGAAAAAGTAAATCATGTTTTATTTTGTTCAATTTAAATATGCTATTTTCCCCAATACCAAACATATTTATTAATTACAGGCCCATAGTGCTGCCAAATGAAATGAGAATAATCATATTGATTCATGGGTGTGGGGTGTGCGTGTGCGTGTCTCATTTACTTAGCCAATCAACACCCACACCCACCCACATCCACACCAACACCCACCCACACCCGCCCACACCAACACCGACACCCACCCACACCCACTCACACTCACACCCCCACCCTCGCCCACACCCACACCCAAACACCTGTTGCATGCCTCAATTTTCGATGTTTTATGCGAGTCTTTTTGTAAACAGAATTGTGAATGTGTGACATCAGTATGTCCTACGATGAATGACAATGATGATCATTGGTGATGTTCAATTGTCTCATCCATTCTATTGCAGTATTAACAATGAAGATTCAAAGTGGCACCTAACTCTGAGAGTTTACGTCAACTCAAAAGGCTATATTTTCTCTTTCGGATAGATGATTCTTGTAAACTAATTTGCTTGTTTTCGTATTTTTATGATGACTTATGATTAAGTTAGAATGTGTCTCAATAGGGAAGGATAATGTATTTTTATATAAAATGAAACTGACTGATAACAAAATCGAACAGGCATCATTCAGCAAACAAAGGCAAGCAGCAAATATTACTGACTTAGATTAATACTGTTTGCTATTTTTCAATTATATTTATTAGTATATGTTTTTCAGTGTTGTGGAACAATCCTGATGAAAGTAGAATGGCTTTGAATGGTTTGGGGTGTGGTTGTGAATAGTGGAATGATTATCTACACCCATACCCACAACCACACCATCCACACCCACACCCAACAACTTTATGAAAATATCAATATGATGATCAACAGGTATTAATTTTCGTAAGAGTGTATTTGTTTGAATAAGTAATGTTGTATGTTTAATGATAAGTACTACCATTACATGATAAAGAACAACATAAAGAAGTTAACAAAGATTAATTAATAAATAAAGAATTATAACATGATTATACATAAAAGATTATCTTTTATATAATTAGTTGTTAATTTATTTGTTCGTGGTCCATAGATCTTTTTTGTTGCCCATAATGTTTTGAAAAATATCGTTTTTAATCTATTTTTTCACTGGTGGAGTAGACGGAAATTTCATAAATCATGTTGGATGAACTGTAAATTGAGGTAAACAGTCAAGAAATGTAGCATCTTTCGACGTGATTGAATAAAATTCTTCAAAATCAATTTGAGTCTTCTATGGAAAGAAAGAAAAAAAAATTAAATAGAAAGCTTTTAAATTTTTATTACTATTATCTATTGAAAAGCTATTAAATTTTAGCCAATCTATATCTCAATCGAACGAAAATCACACTTCAGATGTCATGTTCATTATTTCTATTACATCTAGCAGATGTTTTCACAATAAAAATATGATTTTCAATTTCTACCTTATATACTTTACACTGATTCACTTGTTGTCTTTTTGCTTCTCAAATCTGATTAATTTCTGTAGGCATTCGTTTACTGATGATACTGAAATCAAACGCAACGTTGGTACCAAATGTCATGATTGTTGACGCATAAATGAATGCTTTTTTCAGCTTTTATATGAATAGTTTAAAATGTTGAGATCACATTAATTGTTTAATCGAATATTTGCAAAATACTAATCTTTATTCGAAATCTTCATTATCAGTAAGATCAAGTATTCTTCAATATCTATCATCTTAACTATAGATACAATTTTATGATAGAGAATTTTTTTACTATTTTGATATTATAAATAAGCAGAACTTGCTCATAAAAAAATATTATCAATCTACAAAAGATTTACTGATTTTATTCATACTTATTGCCAATGAATTAAAATGATTATAACAACAAGTGGCATCTCGAAATGCAAGCTTAGCAATTCTTCACTAGACACAATCAATGACCGATATAACCATGACTGACTTTGATCTGTCATTGATAGAAAACGATGAATACAGGTAAATATAATTGAATAAAAATCAATACTGGTTAACGATCCAGACTTAGGGATGCAACAATTCTTGAGGTAGATTTGGATTCGGCATCAAATCCTTAGGAATTGGGTTTGGATTTGGATTCGTATGCTAGGTTTGGATTTGGTTTTGGACTTGTATGATATATTTGGATTAGAATTGTGGTTTGTACCTAGGGTTTGGGCGGTGGTTTGGATTTGTAGTTTAGACTTGGCATTGGGTTTGGATTTGTTTTTCGGTTCTCACAAATCTACCAAATAGTTTTGGATTTGTTAAGACATACATCTACATATTGTTCAGTGTGTGGTCCTCAAGCCCTACTATTGGGGGGTACCCTTAGGTCCTCAAGCCCTACTATTAGGGGGTACCCTTA